CCAAGGTTTCTGGGAAGGATGCCTCAACTCTTGCCAGGTGACAAAAATCACACTGTTCTCTTCCAAATTCCCCCACAAGTACACATTCATATATTATGCATGTCAATCAGTATTAGTGGTTCTACAAAGCTGCTGCATACAATTGTGCAGATTGTTCACTTCACAATGATATCTGGCTGAGAAGATGAATTGGGTCAGTGTGCCCTGGTATAGTACTGAATTCAAGGAGTGCCAATTGCTAAATTACAGTAAGTCATTAGAAGGACTAGTGCCAGCACTGTGGATGTGTAATTAAGGCACGGTAATGCTTTTGAGGTTAAACTTGGGGTACTCAACCTCCAGAAAAATAAGTAATACTTGAGGGAGAAATAAGTATCCTGCCTATATTGATGAAGTAGAAATCTTGAGATAGGGAGCAATTAGATCAGTGTGTGTGTGTGTGTGTGTTAATGTTATTTGCTTGATTATGCTGGAAAGGGAAGAAGAGCACAGAGAGCAGCTGCCTGGGTATCTACTGCCTCATTCAGATCGTCTTCCACAGAGAGTAAGCAGGGCTATTCCTGCCTACCTTATATATAAACTTTTAATCACAGCAAGGCATGGAGTAAGCTGTCAAGCTGAGACTACACAATTTGTCAGGACATTTGTGTTCTGATCCTGGAAAAAACACTTCTTGCAGAATTTCGTTGGCCAAGGATACTTTGACAGTAGTGTCATTATTTAGATTTGGGAATTAAAATAATAGATCTTTGCATGAAGGAGGAAAAGAACTTCTTGTACACTCCAAGGATAATGGGAGATGATAGCTCTTGTATCTTAGCAAGACAGTGACCTTTCCCATCCAGACTCAGACTCCATATCAAAGAGGGGAGTTGTATAAACCAGCATAAAATTGGAAAAGAGCTTACTTCTGAAACTATGAACTAATCTTTCAGTACCAACTTAGTAGCAACTTCTCTAGTGATAACTTATGCACCTGGGGATGTCTCCAACATGACACAGAATGTAGTCTGCCATATCTAAAAAAAGAAATCCATTTTGAGTAATGTGTCTAGATTTAGATGCTGGGTTTGGAAATATATACAAACATTCCCATAATTTGTTCTCATCTAATTTCTCTTCTTTCTTTTTTATCTTAGTATTTAATAAATTTCTTCTTAAAAATACATGGTCATGTATATGCCAAGTTAACTGAGCTCAGAATGAGGTCCATGGAAGAGTGAAATGGAAACTCTCCCGCAAAACCCAGGAAGATTTTACTTTTTTCCATCTGGAAAATGGGCCAAAATTCAGGATGTTGGTAAGTATGAGCCCCTAGGCAAAGGTTCTTTTTTGTTGTTGTTGTTGTTTTCATTTTCACAAGGTTTACTTATTTAGTTTTTCTTTGGAAGGCAGAATTACAGAGAAAGAATGAGAGACAGATCCATCTATTGGTCTGTTTCCCCAAATCTGCAAGGCACCTGGATAGTCTTTCAGATCTCCATCCAGGGAGCTAAGGACTTGAGCAATAGGAGTATTTCCTTCCCAGACCATTAGCAGTAGGCAGCTGGATTTATCTTGAGCAGCCAGGGTACAACTGACAGCTGCACAGGATGGCGGTGCCGCAGGCTGAGGTTGAAGTTGCTACATCACCTTGTAGACCCCTAGCAAAGATCCATAGCTTGAGATCTGTTAGGCACTGGAAAGGTATGCAAAACTGCATTTACATAGCATATGTGACTTTTTAAATAAAGATTTATTTTTATTATTTTTTTATTGGAAAGGCAGATATACAGAGAGGAGAGACAGAGAGGAAGATCTTCCATCCGATGATTCACTCCCCAAGTGAGCTCAACGGCCGATGCTATGCTGATCCGAAGCCAGGAGCCTCTTCTGGGTCTCCCACGTGGGTGCAGGGTCCCAAAGCTTTGGGCCGTCCTCCACTGCTTTCCCAGGCCACAGGCAGGGAGCTGGATGGGAAGAGGGGCTGCCGGGATTAGAACCGACGCCCATATGGGATCCCGGGCGTGCAAGGCGAGGACCTTAACCACTTGCGCCACCGCGCCGGGCCCCATATGTGACTTTTGGAGATAAGGATAGGTCTGCAGTCATCTTCAGAACCAAAACACAAAGCTCCAGCTTCCCTCAGAATCCAAAACCCAGGTACTTTGCATGAAACATGGGATGAACTTTTGGAGTTTTGGTTTTTAGAACGAGCTTTGCCACTACCTTGCTGTTGAGACCCTTTGTGCCCGAAGTTATAGCTCTGTAAAATAAAGCAGCTAGATTACACAGTCTTAAAGGGCCTTTAGAGCTCTAAAGACTTTGTAAGAACGAATTGCTGTGATTTGCCATACCCTTGGGATGACTCTCCAAGTCCAATTTATATAAATGAGAGCTGGTAACACATTGTTCACGGTTTCCTCAACAGCTGAATTTATTGCTTTTCTTTTTTTCCCTTTATCTGCTAATGCCCCATGAAATAGGAGGAGGAGACGGGAGGATTGGTGCTTTCAACTCAGCCTGTGTCTACATGGGGTGACCAGATGAGCCTTACATTAAACTGGCCAGACACACTTTTTTTTTTTTTTTTTTGCTCTGAACTGACTCAATAAAACACTTGCTGTGGGACAGACAATAAGTCTCCAAATCAGTTTATTCTTCTTTTCTGGAAAGTTTTTCTGGTCTCTTCAGTTTTCAGATACAAATGGCAAGGCTTTCATCAGTGCCTATGTGGATAAGACAATTAGTTGAGAAGATCCTACAGGACTAGATTGTGCTGCAAGGTAGAAGATAGTAAAGAAAATAGACTTAGCTTCAGTTTCTTCCTATTTCTCCTTCACTCAGACTGTGATTAAAAGTGCAATGTGGCACAGCAATAGAGAATATAACCCTTGGTTGGCTCACTTTCTAGCTTTCTCCCTTCACATGAGGACAAAAGCAAAGAAAGGCTGAGTGAGTATTTCATGTTTTATACAAAAGGCCTTCTCCACTATGGCTGTCCCTACTCTGTTTCTGATGAGAGATTCTAAAGTAAACCTGGAAGATACTCATCTGTTTCCAAATTAGAGATTCTGGGCTCCTGCTCATTTATGGTTTGAAAGCTATTCACACAACCTATTCCATGTCCAATTGAATAACTATATACACAACTATGATTGCCCAAATATTCAGGCAAGTGGTGCGGCTTTAACCTGGAATTCTAGGAGAGCCGGCTCCTTCAAGCTATTGGGGATAGAAAGAGGTTAGAGTTCATCTAACTGTATTTGTAAATTGGGTAGTCATTCATTTTCCTTGGTCTTCTCTCTATCAATACGAAAGTGAGGAATGAATATTTAACAGGTGAATGAGTGCAATTAAAGAGTACTCGTTCTCCCTCTCTCTCTCTTTCTTTCTCTCTCTCTTTAACACACACACACCTGCATATAAATGCACATACATACCTCTCCCTATTAATACACCTAACTCTTCACTTAGTAATAAGTATGAATTTGAGGTGTGCATAGTGCCTCTTCCCCCCCGTTGAACATGCCATTTGGGGCTGCACTCTGGTATGGGGTGTTGGTGTTGGCCTGGTTGCCAGCCAGCCAGCCAGTTGGTTGCCTTGCCTCTCATTGCTAGGCCATGGCGCCGGGTCCGATTTTACACTTTAAAAAGGTAACTTTACAAGGAATCAGAGACCCTAACTGCCTTTTCACATTACCACTCCCACAGAAGAATGGGCCCCAACTGCTATTAGCAACTGGGAGGTGATGACCACTCTAGCTGCTTGATGTTGAAAAGGAGCGTTGAAGGGCTGACAGCAGCAGGAGGTTACTCAGGGGGCTAATCTAGAGGTCCCCAGTAGAATGGAAAAAAATCATCAGAAGTACCTGGTGTGCTTCTCCTTACTGAAGTCTAGATAACAAAACATAAGACATCTACAATCTCTCCCAACCTAGCTCACCACAGGTTCCGTTTGAAACTTCAATTTGAATAATTGAGCTTTAAATGTAAAAGAATAGTCAGATTTTAACCTTTGTCAAAGTAAGCATTAGACCTGCGTAGCTTTAGACTATGAAATAGATTCATATTGGATTAAGCTAACTCCTTTTAATCTCAAATTTTGAAACTATCTTAATGAACATAATAGAACACATGAATCTTTTCTGAGCTGCATAAAATTGCTAACCCAGATCAGTCAGAAGGCACAGTAATAATAAACATCTTAGTATCTAACATCAGGATATAAACCGACCTCAGGACAGGTAAATGCAAGCTGACTTCTTGGTTAACATGACAATTCTTGCATTTAACTTTTGAAAATGCTACAGTAGTTCTGCATCCAGGTATGGAGCAAGCAAGCGTTAGGTTTTTTTTTTTAATTGTATTTTACCAATTGATGTAAGCCCTAAGAGTCTCAGGAAGACACTCATTCTAGAACATAAAGCATAAAACTGAAAACATTCTGTTACAAGACTTATCTGGATCACAATACAGATGGAGAAAGATTTAAACTAGTTCTGATTTACAGTAACCTGGCAGTTTATACAAGATTTTATAGAACTTTATAAAATCTTTGGAACAGAGGTAAGCAATCTACTAGCTTATAGTTTAACAAGCCATGTATTGGCAATTGAAGAACACAAGAATCTTAAGTAGATGAGCAGAGAAATCCCAAATAATCTGGAAGGTGACATGAGCAGACTTCAGAGCACTCACGGTGTATTACCCCAGTGAAGTCCAGCAAAAATGTGAAATGGACATTGGCAAACAGTCTTGTAGGGAGCCTAATCAGTGGTACAGACTGAGCAGTTTAAAGGCCAGCTAACTTTGCCCTACAAAAGCTTCTTTTCTGGGTTTCTGGATTAGCCTCTGTTTCTGCCACCTGAGCTAATTTGGGCTTCCTGAGAGACATCATGGCCGTTGCAAGAGAAGAAGGTGGGCCAAAACTAGAGCAAAGAGCAGACAAGGCTACTCCTCTGTGTCCCGAAGGAAACTTTAAGGTTTCCCTTTTACTGTGACAACCACCCAAGCCTCACCTGATACGTGACTGGAGCCTGTGGAGGGCCTGGGCTGCATCGGTCCCTAATGGAAGATCCACTAGAAGAAAATGGCTGACCCCAAAGTTCCTGGCCTTCGGGGGCAGCCAAATCTCCATGATCTCCTTGGCAGTATTTCTCTGCGGCCCTCATCTGTGAAGGGTTTATTCAAGTCAAAAAAAAGAAAGATTTAGGTTAGCAATCCTCAGTTATGAACATTTTTACCTATAAGCCGATTAACATAGACAAGCTAACAGCTTGCTTCATTGACATGTACAAGCACACCAGGCAACACACATCACGGAACAGTAACACAGTTTGAATCATAGCTTTCAAAATCTAAATTTTTAAATGATCCATTCTTTAGAGTTATATCTTGCTTTTAGTAACCTGAATGAATCATATCTATATTTTAATCGATAACTTTAGCTTTATCTGTCATGGATACAATAGGTCAGTTGGAACCTAGAAAACAAAGTATCCGTGAATAGAATTGTAAAACATCAAACAGCTTAAGACATCTTTATTTCACGCAGCACTGTGGAACCACCTGTAGGATTTTACACATGCTTGCACTTTCTAGGCCTAGGGGCATAACCATCATAACTAATAACATCACAATAGGACCACTAAACTCTTATAATCTTTCATCTTTCTTTTAACCTTTACATTTTTTTAGGACATTTGCATCAATAGCACTTCCATATGAACACAATTTAAAATTTAGCATGATTCCACATTTTGATAACATGTTGAATACAATCCGAAGAGCAAAAATAAGTTATTACCTTTACTAAAAGAAAGATAGAACCTTTGACAACACATTCTTTTGACTTTGAGACTCCCAAGGGCCCATCTGGAAATCCCCAAATCATAAGGGTTTTAAATCTATTAAATATGTCAAGAGGTCTTAAAGGATCTGATTAAAAATTCCTTATTATAAACTAATATCAGTCCATTTTGTCAGGCTGATTAAAACAGTAACAGATCATTTTTTTCACTTATACAATGACCATGCAAATATTTCAAAGTAAATACATATCAGCAAACATCCTTTAAAACCTAGCTCCTTTCAAACCATGCGAATTTAACAGATAGCAGAGAACCCAAGAGATTACCTTACTGAAGGGAAAATGTGCATTTTTTAAAAGATTTATTTCATTTTTATTGATAAGTCAGATATACAGAAAGGACAAGAAACAGAGAGAAGATCTTCTGTTCGTTGATTCACTCCCTAAGTGGCTGCAATGGCTGGAACTGCACCAATCTGAAACCAGAAGCCAGGAGCCTCCCCCAGGTCTCTCAAGTGCGTGCAGGGTTCCAAGGCTTTGGGCCATCCTTGACTGTTTTCTCAAGCCAGAAGCAGGGAACTTGGTGGAAAGCGGGGCTTCTGGTATTAGAATCAGCATCCATATGTGATCCTGGTTTATGCAAGGCAAGGACTTTAGCCGCTAGGCTCCGGCACTGGGCACAAAATGTGTGTTTATTTAGTCAGTCAGCAAAAAGGAAATAAAACCTTAAACAGAGGAATTAACAAATAAAATCATCTCATAACTTTCAAGAATTTAACAAACTTAAAGTTTGGGACAAGAATAGAGCTTACAGGAGCTGGCTAGGCAATTTACACAATCATCAATTAACAAAAACTATTTAAAGTTCAATTTTTAAAATTTTGTTAACAGATTTCAAAATCAGAGATTTCCTATTTTCAGATATTTATCAGCATTCCTATGTATGTACACTTCAAAGATCTTCTTGCAAACATATTAAATATTAATGATGTAGCAGTATCTTAAAATTATAGCCAATTATATTACACATAAACTTACAAGATTAATTTCTCTCAAATTTTCTGTGACATCCCCACTCTCTTTCAACATATGTAAACCTTGAAGTATTTTGTCCTAGCTTTCTCTTTCCATTCTACCAAATTCTCCTGTAGGAAAAAATATTCTACAAGCAATGTTCTTCCTTTAATCAAATAATTCTTCTCTCATAACCTATCCAAGAACACATTCTCAGGCTTGTAATCATTTTCCATCTGCTAATTCTCTTGATTTACATTTTAAAGCAATCACTTAAAACTCCAATTTAAGGTATTTTCTAAATAAAAGCCTATCAAATTTTAAACACAACTGCTTCAAGTAATCTTCAATCATTTCTCATATATAGCCAATTCATGGAAACATTTTTTAACACAAACCCAAATTGTCCTTTTTTATATAATTTAAGAGACTAGAAATCATTTTCCTCACCTACCTTGCCTAATTTATACTTAACCCGATTTTTGTGTTTCGTGACCAGCAGACACAAAAATCGACACACGCTAACAATTTAAAAATTTTGATAAATCAACTCTAGCTGGAAGAATGATATAAAGTTCAGATCTACTACAAGACCATTTCTCATTGAGTCACAAGGGGCGCTGAGGACAAACAGTGTGCTGTAAATGGCATGTTTTGGAGCTCTTATGCCACATAAACATACAGCAGGGACAGGACGACAATGACCACAGACAGACGCTAGACTAGTAGCCACCAATAACTAGAATCAGAATAAAACACAGCAGAGGACATGAGGCAACATCTTGCCACTGGGCTGGATTTGAGAAGTAGTGCCGCCCTCCCCAAACCCACCTTACCTCTGATTTTCAGGACCTAGGGACAGCTCTCCCCTCCAGGTGACTCCAGGCGGCTTTAGTCTCCCTGGACTCTGACTGGCTCCTGCTGCTGGGGTTCAGTCACTTGGGGGCTGAGGAACCAAGGGGAAGGAGGAGGCAGATGTTTCTTCATCCATCTAGGGTCCCAGTCAACCTGAAAAGAGGGCCACTGGACAGAACAAAGAGTTGTTCATTTCCCTTTAAAAACACAATCTCCAGATTCGGCAACAGCTTTCTCTTTGAAATCCATGAACTGTAATTCGATCAGGTCCAGTGGGCTAGGAATGGAATTATTTTGACCGATGTTATTGAAGGACAATAAAACAACACAGACAGATAACACAAGAAACACACTGAAAACACAGGTGGGTTAGAGATCTCAAGGCCAGTAGGCCATGGCAGCTGCTTAAAGGTGGGATCCCTGCCAGATGAAACCAACCCAAAACAAGTGGGGTCCCCTGGCATTCCAGTAGAAGCTCTGACTCAGGATCTATAGCCGCATCCAGCAGACCCTTTTGAATCCATATGGTGCACGCCAAACAATCCGGAAGAAGGATCTTGTTTCAGACCTTTAACGTTCCTGGTCAATGCACCAAAGGTTGCATCTACTCCACTGCTGAAACAGAATGTTACATTCACCAGTGACAGCCACAACAAAGTTTTATCACAATGAGAGAGGCAAGGCAACCAACTGGCTGGCCAGGACCCACAACCCTTACCAGAGTACAGCCCCAAATGGCACATTCACAGGGTTTTTTTTTTTTTTTTTTTTTTGTAGGGTAGTTTACAACAGCCCCAACGGGGCAGTTTACAATAGCTTGTAGGGTGAGGGAGGAAAGACTGTACATTCACTGCCTATCTCAGCTGGGTAACATACATACAGTACTAAAAGCATAATGTATATGAGTGAAATTCACTCGTCCTCCAAATATGAAGAAAAGGATATTAAAAGGGACAGATTATAGGAATTAAAATCGTAAATGATCATACCAAGGAGACTGAAAGGTTCCATGCAGAAGAAAGACATGAGCAAAAATCAGGATTCTATAAAATAGTTCTGTAAACATTACGAAACATATATTGAAATGGAGAACAGAAGACAAGTTAAAAGATAATAGCAATGGCCCTGGGGAAAAAAATTATGACAGCCTGCTACCAAAATGGTGACACTCCCAGTTTATTTGAAAGGAAATATCTGAAAAAGAAATAGGAATTTAAGACATACAGGTTACTAACAATGTTAGTGTGCTGTTGTTTAAGATACGTAGGGTCTGTTTTTGAAAGAATAAAACAAGGTTAGTTTGGGTTGAGTTGAAAGTGCCCATTGTACTCTTTTCAAATATTCACATTTTAATTTTTTCTTTATTTTCACTGGCTTAGTCATGAACATGTCTGAACATTATGCCAATTTATCCATATGGAAGATAAAGTCCTCTGTTCTATGTTAACATAAGTTGGCCTTGAAAAGTTACTTGCCCAGTATGAGTAATCATCTCTCTTTAAAGAATATTGAAGAATGTATATTTATTAGAATAAGTGCCAATGCAATAGCAACAAATCATAGCCAATCTTTTTTTGAATAAGTTGTAATTAACTACAATGATACTTTACACAACATTTATAATCATTTTAGCATGATCTATCACTAATCATGTCTAGCACTTTGTAATATACTAAGTACTTTTCTGTCTATCCATTATAATAATCTTGTAGATATAAAAGGCAGACATTAATTTTATTGCTATGTGAGGGAAAAAGTAAACTGAGATTCAGAGAAGTTAAGTGGCTTTTATACCCTCAGAACTAGGACTCAAACCCAATTCTTTTCACTCCAATTCTAATTTAACCACTCCATGCCTCAGTTTATCATTTGTAATCTATCCCTAAAAATAGGGTCTACCTCATAAAACTGATTTGAAGAACAAATGTCACAAGGCATGTAAAGTGTTTGGTATAGAACCGGTTAGAGAATCGCTTCTCAGCTTTTTGGCTGAGATCAAATATAGGACCAATTAGAGAATAAGTATTCAATGTAGGATATCATCAGCAGCACCAATATTCACCACAAATATTATGTTCCACATCATAATTACTGATATTACCTTATACAGAAAGTATTTTAATGAAGATGATGAAGAGATAGACCTTGTGCCTATGAGCAAATCTGGTTATAGCTTAATTTGAAGATTGTTTTATTAAAACACAACCCATTCATTTGTTTGCATATTGTCTATGATTGCTTTGGTGTTAACAGTGACAAAGTTGGTTATTTCTTTGTGGATCTCACTGTACAAGCTATTCATTATCTGACATGTTGCTGGAAGTTTTCCAACCACTCATTGAAAAAGTGATTACACAAATACATTTTGTCACCGTTGAAATCTGGATCTCATAGTTCAAGCTATTCATTATCTGACATGTTGCTGGAAGTTTTTCAACCACTGGATGAAAAATCAATTGAACAAATACATTTTGTCATTGTTGTGATCCGAAA